ATTGGAGGGATCCTAGGAGTGCGCGTGGGGGAGGGACATGGGGAAGAGAGCCAAGCAGAGCGGCTTAGGACAGACATTACGGACTCGACTCCCCAGCAACTTATACCCTGGGATTCATTTTCTAAATGCTGCTAGGCTGGCTTGCAAGTAGGCACTTGGCATTAGGCACTCCCACTAGAACACAAGGTATCCCTGGTCCGCAATAATCCTATATTATTGTGCCATGCAATCCTATCTTGGGTAGCGAAAACAACAGTCGTTGCCTTATGGACAGACCCCCCCCCCCCTCCCACCATAGGAATGTGTAATTTCCACCGCTGGTTCTCAGCTGCAAACCAGAAATGAGTACCTCTGTAACTCTCATTTGAGCTGGAAATCACTTTGCCTTTAAAAAATAGATATGTGTATTATATTATTCCTACACGGGTTTACCGTGGAAAGCCTCACTATATCTTCCTTCCTTTGGAGGGCCCTGCCAAGTTTCCGCAGGAAGGGGGCGGTAATTGCTCTGAACAATGCCAATTGATTAACTCGACTGACATTGCTATGGAACCTACGAACAGGTTCCTGAGTGTAAGACGCTCGGGGGGGGGGGGGGGGGGGCAGCGTTGATGGCAGTGGCTATCGTGAGTGAGAGGAGCACCAACAGGGCGACCTGAACACCGGAACCCTGTTCCGGCTAAAAGAATGATCACAGCTAACCCCGCGCGGCATCTCCCGTAACCTGTCAGGGGATTCAATCCCAAAATGTACTGATTACGAAGATAACGTGAAAGGAAACAAATCAATGGTCCCCGACAGAAGTCTTGGAAGGGGGAGTGGGGGAGTAAGTGACATGGTCCGAGTCATTGTGTGGCTGGGCTAATGGCTTAGCAATTGCGGTAGAGACAACACGAGTGGCTTACAGGCGAATTGGTAGGGTTATAGATGAGGGCGATGGCGACGCACGCCTGTAATATGGCACCGTGGAGGCAGCAGCAGTGAGGGTTGGTGGGTCTCGCACAGATGGTGTCAAACTTCCTTCCCGTGGGCGTCGAGGAGGAACCCGTGCCCTGGCTCCTCAGGAGGAAGCGGTGCAGCAAGAACATGGACTCCACTTGTGACGTCCGTACGGGATAGTGGTGTGCCCCTAGCATGCGTGGGGTTTCTCCTGGTGCACTGATTGGTTGGCTGCGGACCGCAAACACTTGGACAATTGAACCTTATGGCGGACCCCAGGGTCTCGAATAAACGGAAGTCAAAATCGTAAATAATTAATTATAGGTCATTCCATCCCACCGCGCACATAAACGCCACGACCAGCCTGGCGCGGATCATTCTGTTGTCGTGTCCAAGCGCAGCAGCGAGGACGAATGAGCAGAAGAGTTGAACAAGGGAATGCACTCCATGCTCGGGTATGGGCAGGATCATAAGTCTTATCCAAAGCTAATCAAACTGCCTACACGACTCAAGTCCTTTATTTGTCATAACGGGGTATGCAAACTAAAGTGAAACTGCTCTCTTATCTTCATTGTTATTTGTGACCTACAAATGTCTGCAGCCAGGATCAATCGATGACAATCCTATTACCTGCAGATATTTAACAGATGATATGTGTGGCACCATTAATTCCTCCTGTTTGATATGCATCTGTGCAGATGTTTTTTTTGCGGTTAAGCCATAGTCCCCACATACCGCTCGTATCAATGCGGATAAGAGGAGCGGCCACCCACTACTCTGTAGAGTAACATTGGTATAAACGCTTGTTACAATCATGGGTGGAAAAAAACAGATTTTTCCAGAGGCAGGCATCGGGTTTTTTCTTTAATACAATTAAACCCAATTTCCGAGAATTAAAACCTGGTTTAATGAACACAAAACTCTGATCCAAGGCTGAGGCTGCTTCCTCGTCGGTGCTGCTATCGTACTCGGAGGGCCGTCGGGCACGGGGTAGTCGTAGAATGCGGCGGGCAGGTTGGTCTTGATGAACACGAGCTTCTCCACAATCGTGGGCGCCAGTGAGTTCCTTGGCTTGGAATGGATGAAGCCCATCGTTGAGAAGTGCGGTTCTGCAATTAGAACCAATTAAACCGGATTTCTCCCAATCTCAGATGATTGGGTTTAATATAAAAAGACAATTAAACCCGATTGTAAAAAACCCGACTGTGCCACCCTTGGTTACAATATGAACAGGGCATTGAAAACGCGTACTATTTTACGTACTGTTTACAAAGTGTGTTCACAAATCCACACTGAGAAACACGATGATTGACAGAGGGGTGTACATTTTTTTTTCGATAGTAAGCAGTTTTCAGTTTTAAAGGTATCGTTTAACAAGACAACACTTGCCACCATCCTTCAAACCCATTGGTGAAAAAGAGCAAACATTTTGTTCATGTTGTTTACTTTATGGTTCTTTCGGTAAAGCCACGTAGAAAGAAAATACATTAAATAATAGAATACGACGTTTCGATTGCAACACAAGCAACCATCATCAGGTACGAATGAATGAGAAAACAAGCATAGTAAACTTAGAAATATAATGCAACACAACCCAGAGAGTCGGCTAACACAAGAGTCAACATCCTACCTGGCTGATGAACCTTGATTTGAAGCTTTCGTGACTGCAGGAATCCACTCTTTGGTTCTTGCGGTAAAGTGACGTGGGTAGGAAATCAACTACATCACGACGTCTCGAACGCAACACAAGCGTCCGTCTTCAGGCGAAACGTCGCGACTTACTTTAGTTTATTTATAAGGACGTGACTTTACCGCGAGAACCAGAGAGTTTGGTTGATGGACGTTCTTCCAAAGAATGCTAAATTTGCGAGAGACTAAACATAGACACGGAGACACACAGACAGACACACAAGTAGAGAGAGAACACACAGTGAAGATGCTTGACAGGCTGCTGCTGCTGCTGCTACTGATTGAAGGCCTCTCCACACCGTGATGAACAAATGGTAAACGCCTGTTAGGCACAAAACGACGAGAGGCCAGCACTAAACAATGGCTTAAACTATTGTCACAAAAATATAATTGTCTTCATATTGTTAGTTCCAAATAAATACGAAATGCTAAAGTTACTTCATTTGCGATGCTTAGAATGTCGTCCAGCAGAGCATCGCATGGTCAAGGCCGAGTTTAAGAATAGAAGGCCAATTTGAAAAGATCATCAATAAGAGAGGCTTCATCGATCTCGTGAACATGATGTGTCGTGCAATCCGCACCACCCGACAAAGTCAATTAGCAAGGTTTGCCACGTAAAGAAGGCGATTAAAGGTAATAACTGTACATGTCGTGGGTTTACTCTCCAACACACTATTTGGTGTTTAGTTTACGTGACAAACCTTACTCATTGGATGTGTCGGGTGGTGGCGGACTTGACGACACATTCATATTCACGCGATCTAATCCACAAACCTCTACTATCGATTATATTGGTCGCGAAAACCTCCTCCGCTTTGTTAAACTTGACAACCTCAGATCGCGGTCGTTTACCAACGATGCGAGCCCGAGGCCTGGCGCAGGAGGCCTCCACCACCTCCACCTCCTCCACCACCACCTCCACCATCACCACCTCGTCCATCACCATCTACTCCATCACCACCTCCATCACCACCACCTCCATCACCACCACCTCCATCACCACCACCTCCATCACCACCACCACCATCACCACCACCTCCTCCACCACCTCCACCATCACCACCACTTCCATCACCACCTCCACCACCTCCATCACCACCACCACCACCTCCATCACCACCACTTCCACCACCATTTCCACCACCACCTCCACCACCTCCACCACTTCCACCACCATTTCCACCACCACCTCCACCACCACCTCCACCACCATTTCCACCATCACCACCACCACCTCCACCACCACTTCCACCACCACTTCCACCACCACCACCACTTCCACCACCACCTCCACCACCACCTCCACCACGTCCACCACCATCACCACCTCCACCACCACCACCACCTCCTCCATCACCATCACCACCACCTCCACCACCACCATCACCACCTCCATCACCACCACCTCCTCCACCACCACCACTTCCACCACCACCTCCACCACCACCACCACCTCCACCACCACCACCTCCACCACCATTTCCACCACCATTTCCACCATCACCACCACCACCTCCACCACCACTTCCACCACCACCACTTCCACCACCACCTCCACCACCACCTCCACCACGTCCACCACTTCCACCACCACCTCCTCCACCACCACCACTTCCACCACCACCACCACCTCCACCACCATTTCCACCACCACCACCTCCACTCGTAGCAGCAGCAGCGGCAGCAGCTGGGCCCGCGTTGGCCTTGCCACTGATCACACGACGAGGCGATTGCTTGGGTCGTCGCGATTAACGGTCGCGATTCTAATCAGTAATCGATTTCTCTCCAGCCCACTCTCTCCACTTCGTATTTACTCTTCTATCGATCTGGCGTGCCCACTGTTGCTCGCTCTATCAGCCTCAATGTCAGGTGAGAGAAACATTTTCGCGGTCGCGATTCGATTCTAATAGTGCAATCGATTAATCTCGGGTAGTGTTAACGTGAGTCGATTATTGATCACGTGTCATTCGGTCTCCGTTTACAAACAAAACATTTGTAAAATGAACAGGGCACGTCTCATGGCGGACCCTCATCGATAGGACAGCCGCAGTTGGAGTTCAACCAAATAACGCTGCGAACCTGAGTCGATCAGGGCGCGATGAGGACTCGATTCGTTGATAATCGATTAATCGAGTGGCGGTCACGTGGTCGGCGCGGGGCGTGGCCTGTGGGCGTGGCCTGTGGGCTATGGGCGTGGGATGTGGGCGTGGCCTGTAGGCTGTGGGCGTGGCCTGTGGGCTATGGGCGTAAGATGTGGGCGTGGCTTGTAGGCTGTGGGCGTGGCCTGTAGGCTATTGCGTGGGATGTGGGCGTGGCCTGCAGGCTGTGGGCGTGGTGACGTAGGCTGTGGGCGTGGCCTCACTTGACGCGCGGCTGGGCAGGTGGAAAGCAGCAGCGCCTCGATCTTGATCCTCATCTTCCTCAATCTCCCTCCTACATCTTGATCCTTCTCCTCAATCTTCCTCCTCCTCAATCTTGATCCTCCTCGTCGGCGATCTTCGTCGCTACCCGAAGGGCGATCTTCGACCTTCGCGTTGTGCCGCCTCGACTCGCCTCTCGTGCCCCCTCCCTCCCTCCCCCCGTGCGGACGAGCGGCCCCGCCATGGGAGCGTGCTGCTCCTGCACTCGGCAGCGCGAGCGTCCCCGCAAGAAGAGGTGAGTCGGACGCTGAAGCCCCACGCGGGCCCCGTGTGAGTTGGACGCTGAAGCCCCACGCGGGCCCCGTGTGAGTCGGACGCTGAAGCCCCACGCGGGCCCCGTGCGAGTCGGACGCTGAAGCCCCACGCGGGCCCCGTGTGAGTTGGACGCTGAAGCCCCACGCGGGCCCCGTGTGAGTCGGACGCTGAAGCCCCACGCGGGCCCCGTGTGAGTCGGACGCTGAAGCCCCACGCGGGCCCCGTGTGAGTTGGACGCTGAAGCCCCACGCGGGCCCCGTGTGAGTCGGACGCTGAAGCCCCACGCGGGCCCCGTGTGAGTTGGACGCTGAAGCCCCACGCGGGCCCCGTGTGAGTCGGACGCTGAAGCCCCACGCGGGCCCCGTGTGAGTCGGACGCTGAAGCCCCACGCGGGCCCCGTGCGAGTCGGACGCTGAAGCCCCACGCGGGCCCCGTGTGAGTCGGGCGCTGAAGCCCCACGCGGGCCCCGTGTGAGTCGGACGCTGAAGCCCCACGCGGGCCCCGTGTGAGTCGGACGCTGAAGCCCCACGCGGGCCCCGTGTGAGTCGGACGCTGAAGCCCCACGCGGGCCCCGTGTGAGTCGGACGCTGAAGCCCCACGCGGGCCCCGTGTGAGTCGGACGCTAAAGCTCCGCAGTATAAACACTGGGGAGGGGTTGGTGGTGACCATTGTTATAATTACTGTAGGTGTGGGCCAGCATAGGTGTGAGTATAATCGTCGCCTCCTCATCCCACAACTTCTCCACGGTGTCGCGTTTTATTCGAGTCACTCTACTGCTGGATGAGGACCCCCCCACACCGTGTGGGTCGTGGGGGTTATTTGACCATACTTCACCACTCTGGGCAGTGCGGGGTTGTGAAGGCGGGGGACAGCATAGGTGTGGAGTATGTAAGTGCAGTACAACGATGTTTCTGCACAGACCTACAGATCACATTGCAGCCCCCGCAGTCTCCAGCAGCTGCTGTGATCAGTGGTCGCCGATCCAAGCTCTGATCGCGCTCATTCACAGTGACAACAAATGCTGCTTCTGAGAATCCGTACTTTCATCAGCGTTGGAGCAAACAAATACATTGGGCAGGTTGTTATCACTGTCTCATCGCCAAAGTCGGGCTTGCTTGAACCAATACTGGTGATATGCAAGGCCGTAATTATTATATATATTGGGGGGGGGGGGGGACACATCCCCCCCCCCCCCAATATTCAAATATGCTCAAAATGTCCCCCCCAATATATTGCTATAAAATAGATTTCTGTTTATATGATTGTGGTTATGGTTGTACTTTATAAATCCCTAATCTCTGCCATTACATACAATGAAACAAGAAAAGATCAAAAATAAAAAAACAGAGCAATGTAATACAATACAATATTAGACATTATTGTTAAAAATACATAAAATTTAAATCCCACGTGTTAGTGAATTTTTTTCAATATTTTAGGCAAGAAATTCGTTTTCAAATTTAGATTTTGTTTCTGGGGGTTGACCCCCTGGAAGATTTGGTCCCCCCCAATGTTGACTCCATGACTACAGCCTTGGTGAAATGCCACACGTTTTATGAGATTGAGATCCATTGCTTGGACGAACTCAATGCTGACATTAAAACCGAATCACTTATTGCAGATATTGTAAGAAGCACCGCTGCAGGCATAACCGTGCCAAGAATGGCATTGATGACCACGCCGATGCATCCTCTCCCACCACCAGCGAACGCTCGGCGTCACCGGTGGTGCAGGAAGGTGCAGCCACCTCGGGCTCGTGTGGAAAGGTAAGAATCATCACCATCATCGTCTCACACGAACACAACATCTCGTGCATTCAGCCACATGGTAACCGACATAGAACCATCCACCGCGGAGATGAAATTATAAAATAAGTTTGTGTGTAGGTGCCAGCTGGACTCTTTTTCATTGTCGGACTGAGAGAATTATTTTGAATTGTTGGACTCTGAAAGGGAGTGACAGATTGGGGAGGCCTTCATCCAACATCAGTTTGACTATGGCTGATGATTATATAACTGACAATTGTTGAATGATTCCTCTGTCATCATATCATCACCAGCTATTTTCTATCCACTTCCAAATAACGGCCCGACACACATCACCACTCCCCATCACATTCACGCAATGCCTCAATGTTTCTGGCTCCTGCACGAGCACTGAACTCATTGCTCCATCTCCGCGGTGGCCGTCCTCTTTCCATTTTGGCTGCCATTCAATTACCAACCCCGTCCATCTGTTCTCGCAATGTATCCTGCACAATCCAGGTTCATCGGAACGGCTAATTGCATGGTTCAAACGTGACTTTCTACGCGTCTTGGTGCACACTTTAGCTTGCGCTCCCTTATCTCTGCACTACACGTGTGCACTCTCTATCTAGTGCGTAAACCATGAACGTGATTCCCTCGACAGGAGGCGCCGGCAGAGTGCCAGGTCATTGTGCCGCTCTCCCCACTTGACATCGCTGGACGACCATTGCCCGATGGGGATGTCGAGCCCCCCCACGCCTCCGCTGAGAAACCCCTTCTCCTGGTCGAGGAGAAGGTACCCAGCGTGGAGGAGGCGGAGCGACGCGACAATGAGCCGGAAGTCAGGTAGGGAGGGGAGTGGGAGATGCAGCAGTAGCGGTGGGTGCTGGGGTCTGGTTAGGGAGAACCAGTCGTCTGGACAGGCAGTTAGACAATTACTGTAGGTGTGGGCCAGCATAGGTGTGAGTATAATCGTAACCTCCTCATCCCACAACTTCTCCACGGTGTCGCGTTTTATTCGAGTCACTCTACTGCTGGATGAGGACCCCCCCACACCGTGTGGGTCGTGGGGGTTATTTGACCATACTTCACCACTCTGGGCAGTGCGGGGTTGTGAAGGCGGGGGACAGCATAGGTGTGGAGTATGTAAGTGCAGTACAACGATGTTTCTGCACAGACCTACAGATCACATTGCAGCCCCCGCAGTCTCCAGCAGCTGCTGTGATCAGTGGTCGCCGATCCAAGCTCTGATCGCGCTCATTCACAGTGACAACAAATGCTGCTTCTGAGAATCCGTACTTTCTTCAGCGTTGGAGCAAACAAATACATTGGGCAGGTTGTTATCACTGTCTCATCGCCAAAGTCGGGCTTGCTTGAACCAATACTGGTGATATGCAAGGCCGTAATTATTATATATATTGGGGGGGGGGGGGACACATCCCCCCCCCCCCCCAATATTCAAATATGCTCAAAATGTCCCCCCCAATATATTGCTATAAAATAGATTTCTGTTTATATGATTGTGGTTATGGTTGTACTTTATAAATCCCTAATCTCTGCCATTACATACAATGAAACAAGAAAAGATCAAAAATAAAAAAACAGAGCAATGTAATACAATACAATATTAGACATTATTGTTAAAAATACATAAAATTTAAATCCCACGTATTAGTGATTTTTTTTCAATATTTTAGGCAAGAAATTCGTTTTCAAATTTAGATTTTGTTTCTGGGGGTTGACCCCCTGGAAGATTTGGTCCCCCCCAATGTTGACTCCATGACTACAGCCTTGGTGAAATGCCACACGTTTTATGAGATTGAGATCCATTGCTTGGACGAACTCAATGCTGACATTAAAACCGAATCACTTATTGCAGATATTGTAAGAAACACCGCTGCAGGCATAACCGTGCCAAGAATGGCATTGATGACCACGCCGATGCATCCTCTCCCACCACCACCGAACGCTCGGCGTCACCGGTGGTGCAGGAAGGTGCAGCCACCTCGGGCTCGTGTGGAAAGGTAAGAATCATCACCATCATCGTCTCACACGAACACAACATCTCGTGCATTCAGCCACATGGTAACCGACATAGAACCATCCACCGCGGAGATGAAATTATAAAATAAGTTTGTGTGTAGGTGCCAGCTGGACTCTTTTTCATTGTCGGACTGAGAGAATTATTTTGAATTGTTGGACTCTGAAAGGGAGTGACAGATTGGGGAGGCCTTCATCCAACATCAGTTTGACTATGGCTGATGATTATATAACTGACAATTGTTGAATGATTCCTCTGTCATCATATCATCACCAGCTATTTTCTATCCACTTCCAAATAACGGCCCGACACACATCACCACTCCCCATCACATTCACGCAATGCCTCAATGTTTCTGGCTCCTGCACGAGCACTGAACTCATTGCTCCATCTCCGCGGTGGCCGTCCTCTTTCCATTTTGGCTGCCATTCAATTACCAACCCCGTCCATCTGTTCTCGCAATGTATCCTGCACAATCCAGGTTCATCGGAACGGCTAATTGCATGGTTCTAACGTGACTTTCTACGCGTCTTGGTGCACACTTTAGCTTGCGCTCCCTTATCTCTGCACTACACGTGTGCACTCTCTATCTAGTGCGTAAACCATGAACGTGATTCCCTCGACAGGAGGCGCCGGCAGAGTGCCAGGTCATTGTGCCACTCTCCCCACTTGACATCGCTGGACGACCATTGCCCGATGGGGATGTCGAGCCCCCCCACGCCTCCGCTGAGAAACCCCTTCTCCTGGTCGAGGAGAAGGTACCCAGCGTGGAGGAGGCGGAGCGACGCGGCAATGAGCCGGAAGTCAGGTAGGGAGGGGAGTGGGAGATGCAGCAGTAGCGGTGGGTGCTGGGGTCTGGTTAGGGAGAACCAGTCGTCTGGACAGGCAGTTAGACAATTACTGTAGGTGTGGGCCAGCATAGGTGTGAGTATAATCGTAACCTCCTCATCCCACAACTTCTCCACGGTGTCGCGTTTTATTCGAGTCACTCTACTGCTGGATGAGGACCCCCCCACACCGTGTGGGTCGTGGGGGTTATTTGACCATACTTCACCACTCTGGGCAGTGCGGGGTTGTGAAGGCGGGGGACAGCATAGGTGTGGAGTATGTAAGTGCAGTACAACGATGTTTCTGCACAGACCTACAGATCACATTGCAGCCCCCGCAGTCTCCAGCAGCTGCTGTGATCAGTGGTCGCCGATCCAAGCTCTGATCGCGCTCATTCACAGTGACAACAAATGCTGCTTCTGAGAATCCGTACTTTCATCAGCGTTGGAGCAAACAAATACATTGGGCAGGTTGTTATCACTGTCTCATCGCCAAAGTCGGGCTTGCTTGAACCAATACTGGTGATATGCAAGGCCGTAATTATTATATATATTGGGGGGGGGGACACATCCCCCCCCCCCCCCAATATTCAAATATGCTCAAAATGTCCCCCCCAATATATTGCTATAAAATAGATTTCTGTTTATATGATTGTGGTTATGGTTGTACTTTATAAATCCCTAATCTCTGCCATTACATACAATGAAACAAGAAAAGATCAAAAATAAAAAACAGAGCAATGTAATACAATACAATATTAGACATTATTGTTAAAAATACATAAAATTTAAATCCCACGTGTTAGTGAATTTTTTTCAATATTTTAGGCAAGAAATTCGTTTTCAAATTTAGATTTTGTTTCTGGGGGTTGACCCCCTGGAAGATTTGGTCCCCCCCAATGTTGACTCCATGACTACAGCCTTGGTGAAATGCCACACGTTTTATGAGATTGAGATCCATTGCTTGGACGAACTCAATGCTGACATTAAAACCGAATCACTTATTGCAGATATTGTAAGAAACACCGCTGCAGGCATAACCGTGCCAAGAATGGCATTGATGACCACGCCGATGCATCCTCTCCCACCACCAGCGAACGCTCGGCGTCACCGGTGGTGCAGGAAGGTGCAGCCACCTCGGGCTCGTGTGGAAAGGTAAGAATCATCACCATCATCGTCTCACACGAACACAACATCTCGTGCATTCAGCCACATGGTAACCGACATAGAACCATCCACCGCGGAGATGGAATTATAAAATAAGTTTGTGTGTAGGTGCCAGCTGGACTCTTTTGCATTGTCGGACTGTGAGAGAATTATTTTGAATTTTTGGACTCTGAGAGGGAGTGACAGATTGGGGAGGCCTTCATCCAACATCAGTTTGACTATGGCTGATGATTATATAACTGACAATTGTTGAATGATTCCTCTGTCATCATATCATCACCAGCTATTTTCTATCCACTTCCAAATGACGGCCCGACACACATCACCACTCCCCATCACATTCACGCAATGCCTCAATGTTTCTGGCTCCTGCACGAGCATTGAACTCATTGCTCCATCTCCACGGTGTCCGCCTTTTTCCTTTTTGGCTGCCATTCAATTACCAACCCCGTCCATCTGTTCTCGCAATGTATCCTGCACAATCCAGGTTCATCGGAACGGCTAATTGCATGGTTCAAACGTGACTTTCTACGCGTCTTGGTGCACACTTTAGCTTGCGCTCCCTTATCTCTGCACTACACGTGTGCACTCTCTATCTAGTGCGTAAACCATGAACGTGATTCCCTCGACAGGAGGCGCCGGCAGAGTGCCAGGTCATTGTGCCGCTCTCCCCACTTGACATCGCTGGACGACCATTGCCCGATGGGGATGTCGAGCCCCCCCACGCCTCCGCTGAGAAACCCCTTCTCCTGGTCGAGGAGAAGGTACCCAGCGTGGAGGAGGCGGAGCGACGCGACAATGAGCCGGAAGTCAGGTAGGGAGGGGAGTGGGAGATGCAGCAGTAGCGGTGGGTGCTGGGGTCTGGTTAGGGAGAACCAGTCGTCTGGACAGGCAGTTAGACAATTACTGTAGGTGTGGGCCAGCATAGGTGTGAGTATAATCGTAACCTCCTCATCCCACAACTTCTCCACGGTGTCGCGTTTTATTCGAGTCACTCTACTGCTGGATGAGGACCCCCCCACACCGTGTGGGTCGTGGGGGTTATTTGACCATACTTCACCACTCTGGGCAGTGCGGGGTTGTGAAGGCGGGGGACAGCATAGGTGTGGAGTATGTAAGTGCAGTACAACGATGTTTCTGCACAGACCTACAGATCACATTGCAGCCCCCGCAGTCTCCAGCAGCTGCTGTGATCAGTGGTCGCCGATCCAAGCTCTGATCGCGCTCATTCACAGTGACAACAAATGCTGCTTCTGAGAATCCGTACTTTCATCAGCGTTGGAGCAAACAAATACATTGGGCAGGTTGTTATCACTGTCTCATCGCCAAAGTCGGGCTCGCTTGACCCAGTACTGGTGAAATGCAAGGCCAATATTCAAATATGCTCAAAATGTCCCCCCCAATATATTGCTATAAAATAGATTTCTGTTTATATGACTGTGGTTATGGTTGTACTTTATTAATCCCTAATCTCTGCCATTACTTACAATGAAACAAGAAAAGATGAAAAATAAAAAACAGAGCAATGTAATACAATACAATATTAGACATTATTGTTAAAAATACATAAAATTTAAATCCCATGTGTTAGTGAATTTTTTTCAATATTTTAGGCAAGAAATTAGTTTTCAAATTTAGATTTTGTTTCTGGGGGTTGACCCCCTGGAAGATTTGGTCCCCCCAATGTTGACTCCATGGCTACAGCCTTGGTGAAATGCCACATGTTTTATGAGATTGAGATCCATTGCTTAGACGAACTCAATGCTGACATTAAAACCGAATCACTTATTGCAGACATTGTAAGAAGCACCGCTGCAGGCATAACCGTGCCAAGAATGGCATTGATGACCACGCCGATGCATCCTCTCCCACCACCAGCGAACGCTCGGCGTCACCGGTGGTGCAGGAAGGTGCAGCCACCTCGGGCTCGTGTGGAAAGGTAAGAATCATCACCATCATCGTCTCACACGAACACAACATCTCGTGCATTCAGCCACATGGTAACCGACATAGAACCATCCACCGCGGAGATGGAATTATAAAATAAGTTTGTGTGTAGGTACCAGCTGGACTCTTTTGCATTGTCGGACTGTGAGAGAATTATTTTGAATTTTTGGACTCTGAGAGGGAGTGACAGATTGGGGAGGCCTTCATCCAACATCAGTTTGACTATGGCTGATGATTATATAACTGACAATTGTTGAATGATTCCTCTGTCATCATATCATCACCAGCTATTTTCTATCCACTTCCAAATGACGGCCCGACACACATCACCACTCCCCATCACATTCACGCAATGCCGCAATGTTTCTGGCTCCTGCACGAGCATTGAACTCATTGCTCCATCTCCACGGTGTCCGCCTTTTTCCTTTTTGGCTGCCATTCAATTACCAACCCCGTCCATCTGTTCTCGCAATGTATCCTGCACAATCCAGGTTCATCGGAACGGCTAATTGCATGGTTCAAACGTGACTTTCTACGCGTCTTGGTGCACACTTTAGCTTGCGCTCCCTTATCTCTGCACTACACGTGTGCACTCTCTATCTAGTGCGTAAACCATGAACGTGATTCCCTCGACAGGAGGCGCCGGCAGAGTGCCAGGTCATTGTGCCGCTCTCCCCACTTGACGTCGCTGGACGACCATTGCCCGATGGGGATGTCGAGCCCCCCCACGCCTCCGCTGAGAAACCCCTTCTCCTGGTCGAGGAGAAGGTACCCAGCGTGGAGGAGGCGGAGCGACGCGACAATGAGCCGGAAGTCAGGTAGGGAGGGGAGTGGGAGATGCAGCAGTAGCGGTGGGTGCTGGGGTCTGGTTAGGGAGAACCAGTCGTCTGGACAGGCAGTTAGACAATTACTGTAGGTGTGGGCCAGCATAGGTGTGAGTTGGTGTGTGTGTAGGTTTTAGTGAGTGTTGGTGGGATGGAGTGTAGGTGTGAGTGAGTGTAAGCGTGAGCGAGTGCAGGTGTGAGTGAGTGTAGGTGTGATGAAGTGTAGGTGTGAGGGAGTGCAGGTGTGAGGGAGTGCAGGTGTGTTCTTTGTGTAGGCTCATGTATGAGTGTGAGTGTCAGCTAGAGCTCGTGTACAATGGTGTTGGTTCCGGCTAGCGTAAGGGTACGTAGAATGACACTAGCGAACACTTTTGTGATCATTTGTTGTTTTGTTTCAGCTCTGAAAATGTTATCCTCGAGATCATCACTGAGGAATTCTGCTCTGGAATCATGGTGAGAGTCTTGGTGTAGCGAGTTTAGAGTCTCAGCCTGGTCACCAATTATCACGTAGCATTTGTTATGCCACTTGCTTTGGTAGTTTGGCACAGCAGTTTGCACGCTGCGCTGCGAACCCAGCAACCTCAGTTGGATTCCCAGCAAAGGCTAGATTCATTGGAGGGGGCTATCAGGGCTTCCGGACTGTACGTTTGTAACGACGTTTCAAACGTGCGGCATAGCCCGAACACGCAACCTTGGCACCCATCTACACGACAATCCGGCATATCCTGCTGACGGGACTCGGATCATCAACACCGGCCCAGAGATTCCCTGATGGAAAACATTGGTCCCACAAGCTCATAGGCCGATGAACTAAAACGTTAATTTCTCCATAGGCTGCGAAACAGATACGTGTCCTTTGATTTTTTTAAGTCGGAACATTCATCAGCTATGAGAATGCATTTGGCGGCACACCCTTATAAAACACAGCGTGGTTTGGTGCGGTTTGCTGTCTGCAGAGCATCGGAGATGGTGGCGAGGATGCACCGTGCCTGGCACACGAGTGCGAGCCGCTGGAGCAAGGTGAGGCGTCGTTCCCTCTATTATAACGGGTTGTGTGTGGATCCCCGGTTATAATGGACCGTGTGTGGGACCCTGGGAATTATGACCCATATGTGGAACCCTGGTTTTAATGGGTGGTGTGTGGGTCCCTGGTTATAACGGGCTGTGTGTGGGTCCCTGGTTATAACGGGCTGTGTGTTGCATCGTCTGCCACAGCGGGTGGAGAGTGGGCGGAGAGCAGCGTCCCACAGCGCCGCCACGACGAGCTGCAGCGCCACTTGGCGGAGACGGTGGAGAGCCTGAAGGAGCTCAATGGCAGCCAGGACCTCGAGGTATGCGGGAGGTCATGGGGTCAATCCCGATTCTGACAACTACTGTATACTTGCAGTTCACATATTCTCTCCTCATGGTTGCGTGGATTTTTCTCCAGGTCCTCCGATTTTTCCCTCCACATTTCAGAGACGTGTTTTAGAGTATTTGGCTGCTATAAATATCCATGCGATATTTCACTAAGTGGAGCTAGCAGTTGTAGCCGAGTCTCTTCTGAAAAAGTGCTATATAGCTCAGTGGGCCTTACCTGGTTAAATAAAACTAGTGTTAGTTTAATAGTTGAGTTTGAATAGTGTGAGTGTACCTGTGTGTGTGCGCGATGGGCAGACCAAGGTCATGAAGTTCGAGCTGGCCAAGGCCTCATCAATACCCGTCAACCAGATCTCCAACACATCTGGTGAGAGCCGTCCCCTCCCATCTCTCTTGAAACGTCGAGTCTCAGTCTGCCCCAGCTCCCGCAGTGTAAACGCACAATCAAGCAGCTTGCATGGCAGTCATTGTGTCACGACTGCGATAGTGCAGCGCTATTATATAACACACGTCCCCCTGTTTCTACCTGGGCCCCCCCCCCCCCCCCGTGTCCTCGTGTGCAGGTTCTCACCTGCGCGTCATCACCGACAAGCTGGACTTGCTGTTGAGCGGCAAGGCCGTCGTGTCGGGCACGCGCTCCACCAACGTGTCGGACCACCCGCAGGGCCTGCTCTATGTCCTGCACCGGGTGACTGAGAGGCTTGTGGTACGTCGACATGCCCCCTCGCAAAGCCCCGCCTCTTGCCTCGCATTCAAATGCATTTCACATCCACGCACCTCCACGTTACCACCGTCGTCATCGCCGTCATCCACCGACATCTGCTTCTCACCTTTGCCTTGTGGTCGCTGCTAGGATCAATTGACTTGAATGTGTTTTCATTTATTCTCACGGTTCATTCATCGATGCTTCTTATACCAGAAAGCCACAATTCGTCTCATTAATGCTTTTTTTCAATGGGGTTCCTCTTGCAAAATGTTGCACGTTTAATTGGGAAAGCTAAATGAGAAAGATTATTTATCACAAACTAAATAAGTGCAGCAAATTGGTTTTCTTCGGTTGTTCCGGTTTTTTCACCTCACCCTCACTCCCCCTGCGTCTCTGCCACTACAGAAGCAGTGCGAGGAGGAGGTGGGGTGGAACCACGCGGCGGCGTTCCCCATCGCGGCTGTCACCGTGGAACTGTGGCACCGGCACCCAGCCATCGGGGAGCTCCTGTTCGCTGAACTGCTGAGCAAGTGCCCCTACTTGGCCCCTTTCTTCCCTCGTCCCACGCCTGGGCAGAGCCAGGAGGACGCTTTCAGGTGAGGGCACTGGGGACATGGGGTGGGGGGTGGAGGGTGAGGAGTGAGCGGTGAGGGCTATGGGTGCACATGGCGTGTGCGTGATGCCCGTGTCTCCCCCCATCACCCGCAGGATCCTCGGTCACCGCTTCGAGGATGGGACACTAGAGGACGAAGACTTGTTCCTCCAGAGAATGTCGGGCATGGCGCGCCTGTACGCGGCCATCGTCTCTGCACCCGTGTCTCCCTCCAGTGGCGACAAGGTAGCCTCACCTTGCTCCAAGAATCAGACCTCACTCTCTTCGTCACGTACAGTTTGGTTCGCTCTGCTAGGCTACGTGTGACATTGTATGCATGCGATTTGCTTAAATCATAAGCCATTGGCTCCGTGTAGCGCAAGTACGAGAATGGGATTTTAAATTGACGAATCCCTCCCACCCCTACCCCACGCGCGTTGTGTGCGTGATTCGCAGAGCCACCCCCACGGCGTGAGTCACGGCTGGTCCTGGCTCACGCGGGTCCTGGATATGGAGCCCATGGCCAATGTCACCCCCACCGTGCTCTTCCGCTTTCTGGAGGTACGCAGGAGAGCACGCACGAGAGCACACTCGCATGAGCACACAGCTCGCTCACACAGCGCACGCACGAACACACGGCGCACACACACGAGCACACGCACGAGCACACAGCGCACAAGCGTTGTGATAGAGACGAGGCTGCCCTGTGACTTGTTGACGTGCTCCTGGCGTGTGTGAGCAGGTGGCAGGCAGTGCCATGGAGGTTGCATACGGCGATCAGCTCTGGGAGCTGCTCGATGTGTTAAGGAAAGAATACATCCCAAGGTACCTCTCACCCAGTGGCAGAACCTAGTCACCATCTCACCTTCACAGAGCCATTTATATTTGCACGTGTTCCTTGCATTTACGCCTGAAGTCGCGATTTTCTTTCTGTTTTTATGTTGTGGCAATAGACTGAATCACCTCGTCAAGTCGCCAGCTAATATCAAAGTAGCATTGCACTTGGACAAAGAGAAGGGTCCTTACACAGCCGTAACTTTCCCCTGCGGATCATAAACTCTGGCTCTTGGAAGACTCTTCACCAGCCCAGTTTTGCACCCACAGCAATTGGCAGGGAGGCAGTAGCGATGTGATCGACGTGACTGAAGTCAGCTGTCGACAGCAGGCTCCCGTGACAGTGTGTCTCTGAACGAGCTTCAAGCTGTGGTTGGTGATGCTCACCGGTTATGGACTGGAGCCGGGAGTTTGTAAGAATCGATGGATGTGCAACTAAACTCGCTGCGTCTGTTCTTGTCCTGCAGAATCGAGAAGGTGTCCACCCCGCAGCAGATGGGAGCTGTGGTCAGACTGAGGCTGTTCCTCGAGGTACCGGCTTTGACGACACAACTTTGACACATGCATATATTTTCCAGTGTCGTTGTCAAGACTCGCACAGCAATATGTGTAACATTACCTTAAGTCATAACAGCTGCGGAAGTTGACATCACGTAATGATATCTGAAGTCACTCAGGAGCTCCCTTTATCCATACTCGCAGCAATAGCCATCTTATCCTGAGTGGGCACATTGCGAGTTGGTCAGGAGACGTCAGTACAGCAGCGGATTTAACTTAACTATGCGGAGCTGTGTTTATCCAAATATGTTATGGGTTTTCTCCGGAGACTCTGGATTCTTCCCAATCGACAAACTTGCCTTCACGGAATTCGCCAAACATCCCAAAACAGGGCCATCCTGAAGTAGTGTTAACACTCAATGTGGCCGAAGTTACATTCATTCGGGGCATAGTTAGTACCATGTGTGTGGGTGTAATTATTGTCAAAGAATTTGTAAGTACATGTCAATCACATGAATGTTAGAGTTCGAAAATCCAAATTAGATGAAAACCTGAGTTGAACAAAGGTATTTTTCTTTGTGAAGTTATCTGTGACCAGGATAATACCTTTAACTCGCTACACTTGAGACTCCGGTTTAATCACAGGTGGCTGAAACCTCAATTCAAACCCAGGATCTGAGTGGTGCTGGCTTTGCACTCAAACACATAATTAGCCCCATATCCACTTAGTCACTTAATGCAAATTTTTCCGTGTCGGGAAGTTGGGAAACACTTCCCAGAAATAAATTAGTAATTCTCCTTTCATCGTGGCATGCGTACACACAAAGGGAGGGTTAATCGTTAATTGCCTGAATCACCAGGTCTCCCCTTCACACGGGGTTTCGAGTACATCATCAGGGATGTGTGCCAGTCCTACCCCAGGCTTGTGTATAACTCACAAATGACATCATTCCCAACCGCATTACACCAGGGATAGTGGGTGAGGTCATTACAATCATCGACCTCACACCTGAATGGGAGGAGCAGGAGGATGGGTGAAAGGTGATTGGCCAGGAGGGTTGAAGGGGAAAGGCAGGGAAGGGTTGAGGGAAGAGCTCGATGGTGGATCGGGACATTTGCCAGGCAACTCTTCACGCGTGTGCCGGACTGATCAATAAACACACAAATAGAACAACCACGCACGCGTCTAGAACTTCTCTACAAGTTCGGTTTGGGCTGAAAAAGCCTCTGACCGGCGTGCATTGCTTCCTGCACAAGAATCATCAGCTACATTAAAATAACTTTGTAAAATATTCACGTTAACAGCACTCAAGAGACCAGAGCCGAGGCATTCTATTGGCACGCTGCCACTGGTTGGCCCTTCAAACCCCACGTGGGGCTGCTGGGCTGCCAGGAGTGTCCACATTAATCCCTGTGTGTGTGTGTTGTGTTTGCCTGCAGGACTGTTTTGTTAATCGGGAGATTCCTTTGCCAAGCGGGCATCTCTCAGAAGAATTTCGGAAGGCTTAACAAGATCACCTGTACATTATGTAAATATATATTTTTTATGTAAGTAAAACCCTACGTGTTCAACTGTCAATTATTTATTCGTAAATGAAATAAAAATCCTGAAATTGTTACATTTTGTCATGGTTGCTTGTGTAATGTAGGAATTTGGGCGGGAGACGACTTGACGGGTAGCACACTTTTATTAACACCAACTCACTAACACGTGTGACCAACTGCAGCCTATGCTACGCGGTTCCCCCGGCTACACACACACGGGCTCTTACGCCCCGTAGCTTCTAGGGAACCCACCCCAACTGGGGTCTGGGTCTCGACCACTGGGTCCCACAGCCTCGCCCTTACAAGGACGTCAGGCCGCGGGTCCCACGGTCTCGCCTCTGAGCCGCACAGGGTCCCAGCCCGTACAAGGACAGCGGGACTAGGGGTCTCAGGGCCCTGTCTCTTCCAACTCCGTCTTCGATCTTCACTGGTTAACAACTCCCCGAGCGCTCCCGCGCATCCCCCTTTATAGTGCTCCGCTCCCGGGGAGACGGAGCCCATGCGGACCTCGATTAGAGCACCCACCCCAGTTGACCAATCAACACGCGCTGCCACACGATCCTTTTTCCCATCTTGTGTCAGTGCACACAACCACTCACCACGCGCAGGGCACATGATCCATCACTGTCAGCGCGCGTCACCACTATACCACGCGATGTAGCCACACCCGACGCGCTCACACACGCTCCCCCCTTGTCAGCGCGTACCGCCACTACACTTGTATGCAATATCTACAATGGTTTGTGTTCCTGGTGTGTAAACAGAAAAAACTAACTGCAAAACACGCACAAATAATCACGAAGATGAATAGCAAAACAAAAACTCACTGGGCATGACGCACCAACCGGGCCTTGATATGGGAAAAGGCAGCGGCAATAACCACGATGTGTTCATTGCCCTTTGCTGAAGGCTACCGAATGTTTGCAAGGCTCAACCAGGACACACAGTGAGTTGGTCGCCCCTCTATCTGTCCCCCTCCTACTTTACATAACCATGCCTACACTGCCAACTGTTAATATACTCTGCCCACTGATCATAGGCCTTACTAGTCCATCTATCAGCAACGCCGGAGGACCCAGAGAAAAATCCGGGCTTCCACGGCGTTGGGGGGCGCAACCGTCGGAGTGGCAAAGCCTGCCCGATAATAATCCTATACGATGCAACTCTCTTTGTCCCGCGTTGAAATAATCGTGTCAGCTGCGTTGCAAAAACGAGACTAACGCGACGAGGCGAAGTGGATGTGGCCGAAATGACTCCCAACGATTGGTGGGAAATGGTGCACCGCGTGCATCATCACCACCATCACCACCACCGCAATCACCACCACCATCACCACCGCCATCACCACAGTCATCACCATCACCACCACCATCATCACCATCATCACCATCACCACCACCATCATCACCATCATCGCCACCATCATCATCGCCACCATCATCATCGCCACCACCATCGTCGCCACCACCATCATCACCATCATCGCCACCATCACTCTACCACAACCGTTCTCATCAAACAAGCGGAGGGTGAGGGGGGGGTAGGGGGTTGGGGGGGGTAGGGGGTGTGGGGGGGGGGGCTCGGCTCTCCCAGGAGGCCGTCAGAGCTGCCTCTTCAATAACGAGGTCGATCCTGGGGGGACACCCCGGGACAGGTGGCAACCCGAAGCAGACAGTCCCTGCATGCGTTCACCTCGCCACCTCCGCACGCCGAGAGATTCGGGCGAAGGTTGCGGATTCTGGGACTCTGGAGTCGAGATTTATCATCTCAGGGAGGGAGGGGGGGTGAGAGTCTGCCTCGTTCGTGCCGTCTCGGTTGCGTCGTTTTGTCCGATTGTTCGTGTCGTTTGTTCCGTCTGCGTTGGTGGTGTCGGTGTCGTTCCGTCTGCGTTGGTGGTGTCGGTGTCGTTCCGTCTGCGTTGGCGGTGTCGTTCCGTCTCGTGATTCCCGAGCCGACTGTCCAGCAACTCTGTTCGTTGCGGGTGCCTCCGCGTGCCGGGTTAAAAGTAATAAGAAGAATCGACACTCGTTCGCGGGCGTGAACATACTCTATGCAACATACCTGGAGCCAAAAACTAATCAATGTAAATAATCGATAATTAATCGATGAATAATCGTTACCCCCGTTTTCTCCGGAGTATAAGACACGATCCGGGAAGTAAGACACCACTCCAGATGTCTTCCCGGTATAAATAAAGTTAACACCGTACACAGCTACCGGAGTATAAGACGCACTCCCAAACTTTTGCTTTAACGTAGCGTGACGGGGGGGGCAGGGGGGGGGGTTATTGAGTGCGTCTAACAATCCCGAGATTATTCTCATCGTCTATCCCTGGGCTGCTGGGGGGGGGGGGGGCTAGGAAGGGGGGGGGTGATGCTGTGAAGGAGCGAGGTGGAGGCGTGTGCACCACACACACGCGTCCTGTGTATTTGTACATATCGCAGCGAGACGAGGTGCTGTTGATGACGACGGGAACAATCGAGCATTGCAAGGAACTAAAAGAGGATGTGGGGATGATTGATGACCTTGGGTGGTGGCCTCGGTTCTTAACTAGCGGGACATGACGTGAGGTCACCACTTGTGAGTCAGTGTTGCGAAGGCCAGGGCGGGGGTGGGGTTTAATGTTTGCGTAAATATTACAATGCCTCGCGTGTGCGTGGGGTCTAGTAGGAGGAGGGAGGAGATGATGAGACGTCAACCAGCCGGAGAGGCGGTGAGTGCCGTAGGCTTTGCACGGACCGACCAGGAGCAGAACTAAACTATTTTGTCAGTGTTATTGTATACCAGGTAAGCCCTCTGGCTCTCACAAAGCAGATGGCTCGACGAAGTGGCTGCTGATATCATCGCGAGTCAATGTGTTGCTGCACAAATAATACTCGAAACCCCGTGATGTTGATTCTAGAACGTGGAGGGGAGAAGCCGGAGACAAACAAATGCACGCGACCGCGGGAAGAGAGACACCGCAAACTCCAAATATACAGCAGGGTTCAAGGTGGGGATCGAACCCACGGCATCCTGCATACCAGCGAGGAAGTTAACATCTCCTAGCTACCGTGGCAGCGAGCGCGGGGGCACGAGGTGCCACCCCCTCCCCCCGCTGGTGGCCAAAGCTACGAGCTGGGCCCCCCCCCCTTGACAACCACTATGATATTTGATTTCAACAAGGGCGTCAAATAACAACAAAAACTTGAGAACTCTGTTTACATTTTTTTATGAAAAGTATTCCATTTACGTTCCACGTTTTATTTCAATTCAGTTAAGAGCAGTAACGTAATGCTACAAAGAGGTGACTCCGACTACGGAGCTGTAGTGGCTGCATTGTGTAGATGGAGCGCCTCCTACAGCATTAAATGTTCGCGACCTTGAGCGTACGGAAGATGTGGTTAGGGCAAGAGGAGCCGCGATGTCTAATAATAGCCTCTAGGGTGCGACTGTGCGAGACAAACCAAATATTGGGGCCTCACCTTGCTGCACCCGCTGAGCTGATAATGTAGTCACTACACCACTGATAATGTAGTTACTACACCACTGATAATGTAGTCACTACACCACTGATAATGTAGTTACTACACCACTGATAATGTAGTCACTACACCACTGATAATGTAGTTACTACACCACTGATAATGTAGACTGATAATGTAGTCACTACACCACTGATAATGTAGTCACTACACCACTGATAATGTAGTCACTACACCACTGATAATGTAGTCACTACACCACTGGTAATGTAGTTACTACACCACTGGTAATGTAGTCACTACACCACTGGTAATGTAGTCACTACACCACTGGTAATGTAGTCACTACACCACTGGTAATGTAGTTACTACACCACTGATAATGTAGTCACTACACCACTGATAATGTAGTCACTACACCACTGGTAATGTAGTCACTACACCACTGGTAATGTAGTCACTACACCACTGATAATGTAGTCACTACACCACTGATAATGTAGTCACTACACCACTGATAATGTAGTCACTACACCACTGGTAATGTAGTCACTACACCACTGATAATGTAGTCACTACACCATTGATAATGTAGTCACTACACCACTGATAATGTAGTCACTACACCACTAATAATGTAGTCACTACACCACTAATAATGTAGTCACTACACCACTGATAATGTAGTTACTACACCACTGATAATGTAGTCACTACACCACTGATAATTTAGTTACTACACCACTGATGATGTGGTCACTACACCACTGATAATGTAGTCACTACACCACTGATAATGTAGTCACTACACCACTGATAATGTAGTTACTACACCACTGATAATGTAGTTACTACACAACTAATAATGCACTGTGTAACAATTTGTTTTTGTTCTTGGGCAGTAAGCCCACCAGTTCATCTTAGTTCCAGCTGCCTAAGTGCATATATATCTGCATTTTTCTGAGATGGCATTAAGATGCTGCAAGCATCCGGCAGACGCATTTTGCTATATCTGTGGCCAATTTTTCAAGACAAGAGCGAAAAAGTACTCTGTGGAAGCATCTGCTAAGATGTGTGAGGCCGACAAGACATATTTCGGCATGCCTGTCGGGGATCAAGACAAACCCTGGGCACCTCATTTCACCTGTGAGCAATGCAACACAAACTCTGGAAGGTAAGATGGACAATTGTTGCTCAGGATTTTATGTTGTGAAATTTGTTTAAAAAAATTACATTGTAAAAGTTTTCCAATGTTTATTTCTCGATTTGAAGCTTTCGTGACTGCAAGGATTCATACTCTTAGTTCTTTCGGTAAAGTCACGTAGGTAAAAAATGAAATAAAAATTAATAAAAATAAAACAATAAAATCAAGACGTTTCGGAGGCAACACAAGTCTCCGTCATCAGGTGGGACCGTTACAGCCAGATTAGCTGCATCAAGTGAGGCAGAGATTCCAAGATGCAAGCCCTTAAATACAAGTTGGTGGGGGAGGAGAGGAGGGGGAGCTTATCAGAATGTGGTAGCCAATGAATGGAACGTATCGGGAGGGAGGGGGGCGGGGCTAAAAGAAGGCACTAAGTGCTGCGTAGAACGTATCGGGA